AACTTTAAAGAACCTATTCGACGCGCTAAAGTCATAGTCTGGAATGGCCCCGCAGGAGTTTTCGAATTTGACAAATTCTCGTTTGGGACCAAAGCCATTATGGATGAAGTTGTAAAAGCTACTGCAGCTGGCACAATTACTATAATAGGTGGAGGTGACACCGCAACCTGCGCTGCGAAATGGAACACTGAAGAAATGGTATCTCATGTATCGACTGGAGGTGGGGCTAGCCTTGAACTGCTTGAAGGTAAAACACTTCCAGGTGTTGCTGCATTATCAGATCCTTGATATTTTATAAAATAATTGTTGTAATTTCTTTAAATAAATAATTGTCACAGTATTTAAAAATGTAAAAAACAAATATGTATATGTAAAAACATGAATAGACTAGTATAAATAGAATAGTCTACTAAAAACAATACAAAGAAAACAACCAAAAAATCATGAGCTTTGTGAGTCATTAAAAAGCTCTAGCAGATAATTAAAGAAATTGAATGCTTTGCTGCGCTCAAAAGAGTTTGCATTTTAAGTGAAAAGTATGTTAGAAAAAGTACCTAAACCATAAACAATAAGCTCTAGAAGCTACTTTTTTACGATATAAATAGACGAGGTATGAGTACAATACTTCATAGTATCATGGTAAATCGTAGAAAACCTATCAATGTCCAAAAAAATCTTTTTTGTTAAAATAAGATCGTTCCAATAATTAAAAATCAAGCTTATACAGGAAATCATAGAACGCTGTAAACATTGTAAGTTTTTAAGACGTATAGATCACAAATCATCACCTACCTCTAGATGCTTCACGACAATACTTTATTTAGATATGAAATTCATTCCAAGAGATTTGTATCGGAACTAATTCAAACGGGAAATTACGGGAATTTCCAAATTTTATTTTTTTTTGGATAAATTTAAAAAACCTTAAAATATTTAAATATAATTTGGTATATATGAAAAAAAATTGCATTTTAAATTTTAAAAGGTGCAAATTCTTTTTAAATCCAAATAAACACAATACCATTTAAGAAAAATAAAACAAAATATAATTTATTTATTTATTTAATACATGTCAAACAACCTGTGGCGGCCGGTCACGGTCGGCAGTGCCGACCCACATCTTTATAGATATTATAGACTTTTTTAATATTTAATTTAATCAGTATTTCAATAAATAATTGTGGCAGGTAATCAGTTGATGTCATTTGTTTTTGTGAACTAAAAAATAATCTGTGAGATAATAGAGACTAAATTTTATTCATGGTTTTTAAAAGAATTCGACCAGACTAAATTTTATTCATGGTTTTTAAAAGAATTCGTCCAATCTGGGCGTTAAGTGATCCCTGCGTAGACACTTTTCAAATAGATTATTCGATATCGGAGACATTCATCCGCCTATGAATTCTTAAAAAGGCACGTTTTTTTTTTTTCGGCTAGCCGATCCCAACCTTGACTTTACTTGTAAAAATCAACGGAATATTGGTTGATTAGCAACCAAATATACATTTCTTTCCATATGAACTTAATTACCAAGTACGGCGAATTTAAATTTGCCGATGTTTCATTTGTATTGGTAATTGGTCGCGAACTGTACATTGCGAGCGTGGGACGAAATGTTATTTCATTTCATATATGTAGTAAAGTAAAGTCCACAAGGAATCTACGTTCCTGTGAAGTGATATTCAGTGCACGAACTAGTCTTTCTTTTTGTGACTTATTTTTATTTTCTAAAGTGATACTGTGATACGTTACGTCTGCCGTAAATAGTTAAAGGTTAAAGGTTTTTTTGACATATTAGAAGTTTTTTTTAAATTAAAGTGTAAACAAATTCAGGTAAATTAACCTAAAAAATGCAAGCCATGGGAGAAACTGTAAGTATTGATAAGTCTGATATTGTAAATTATATTTTGCATAATGGGTTTTCATCTATTCCATACGAAGAACAAATTGTTATTAAAAATAAGAGGAATCCTTTGCTTAAAATGTCCCGGCTTATAAATATTAGTTAGAACCACAAAGATGCATAAAGCAACAGGTCCAGATGAAATTAATATAGAAGCAATAAAACTACTAGACGAGGAGAATATCGAAATCTTGGTAAGGCTGTTCAATAGAATTTATGATACTGGTTACATTCCGCGAGAATGGCTGCAGTCATTTTGTGATGATCCCAAAAACAGCTAATGCCACAAAATGCAATGAACACCGCTAAATCAGTTTAATGAGTCACTTGTTGAAACTCTTCCTTAGGATATTACACTCAAGAATGTACAAGATACTAGAAGAACGGGTCAACACAATTCGGTTTTAAGGGAGGACTAGGAACAAGAGAGGCAATTTTATGTTTGAACACCTTAATACAACACTGCTTAGATCAACGAAAAGATGTCTACCTCACCTTCATCGACTACGAGAAGGCATTTGACAATGTCAAATGCCTTCTCATTTCATCATGATATCATGATGGAACTACTACATAGGGCCAACATTGACCAGAAGGAGATCAGAATTATTCAGAATCTATACTGGAACCAAATGGCAAAGGTGAGGATTGATCAAGACCAATATACGGATGAATTTGAAATCCGGAAAGGTGTCCGCCAAGGCTGCATACTCTCTCCGATGCTTTTTAATTTATATGTTGAAAATATATTTGCGTAAGCATTAGAAGATACGGAATTAGGCATTAAGGTGAACGGCATACCAATTAGCAACCTACGCTATGCGGACGACACAGTGATTATAACTGATAATTTGTAAGATCAGCAGTTATTACTTGATGGGGTGAATAGCATAGGTAAAAAATATGGCCTCAAAATCAACATTTTGAAAACGAAATATATGGTCATTGCAGAAACCCTCCAGAAAACCCGATAATATGCATAGGTGGCAATCGTATAAATCGCGTGAAAACTTTTAAATACCTTGTCACCACAATCAATGACCAATCGGATCCACAACACGAGATAAAAACCCGAATACAAATGGCAAGATAAGCTTTTGTGAAATTCAGACCGCTCCTATGTAATCAACACCTAAACTTCTAAATACGCTACAGAATGGTCAAGTGCTACATATGGTCCATCTTGCTTTATGGCATGGAAACGTGGACTTTGAAAAAAACATCTATCAACAAACTTGAAGCATTTGAAATGTGGTCATTGAGAAGAATGATGCGCATACCTTGGGTGGATAGAGTTCGAAACGATGACGTCCTTAATAGAGCCGGCGTGGAAAGAGAACTCTTTGAATTAATTAAAAAACGCAAGATTGGTTACCTTGGGCACATATTGAGAGGAGCAAAATATGAAATACCACAGTTAATCCTACAAGGGAAGATCGAAGGTAGGAGAGGAGCCGGCCGCAAACAATTATCCTGGTTAAGGAATATTAAAGAATGGACAGGAATACACAATACAGGTGAGCTGTGTCACGCCGCCAAGAACAGAATTCTAGTAATGAGATAGTCGCCTACGCACTTTGGTGTATGGCATATTAAGAAGAAGAAGATAAATATTAGTGCGGGTAAGGAAAGTAATAGATCATTTTCAGATAATTGGTACAGCAAGAACTTATGGCTTACCGGGAGTGAAATAAAAAACAAACTTTTCTGTTGGCCTTGCATTTTATTTTCGACAAATAGGGGCAAACATCAAAATCCGTGGTGTGAATCTGGTTACGATAATTTAAAGGAATTATTTAGGGCTTTACATAAACATGATATTTCGAAAGATCATACTTACAGCCAGATTAAACCATCACATCCATGTCCCATGTGTCACTGTAAGTGTTGTAAGTTTTCTAACTTAATGAGGTTACTCACTCATAAAGGCGGAGTCCCATGTATCCGATTTCCGACATCCGACATACGAAAATCGTATGTTTTCGTAGTTGCTATTTGGAAGCTAGTCACATGAATGCGATTGTCGGATACGAAAATCCGTATAAACTGTCAACGGTCAATTTTTTGTTTATTAAATGAAATGAGGTTGAATGCTCGAATAAATGAACTTTGAAAATAAGGCTATTATCGAGCACAAGTTAATTAAATCTAGCCCAAGTACTTTCGCTTAAAATAGCATCTTCAGGGGCATTTCGTCAAAATGTGAACTATCCGGCAAGCGTAGAATGTGGAAACATTAAAAATAACATAAATTGTACAAAACACTACACTAAAACGAGGACAAACAGTTTAAAATTACTTCTACACTACATTCTCTGTCAGTATCTGGAGGGATAATAAGTTTTTTTGTTTATTGTTTGGATGTTTGGCTGGTAATTGCTATTTTACCACTTTTGCGTAGTAAAACAGCAGAAGGGATTATTTCAGCATGGTAAATAATCCCTTCTCCTGCTTTCAATTACTCAGTTTATAATGGATAATGTCGAAGAAACTATGTAGCTTATGAAATGTGCAATTACGCATTCTAAGGTAAATGCAAATATTTGTCAACATCATTTAGCTTCATTTCCTGCAAGAGTGCAATATATTATTAAAAGCCCCTTGTGACTTTTTTCCTTAAATATTTAACTAACCCAATATTTTCTTTGTCGAATTGTACGTTATATATATTTTTTTGGAAATTAAAAGAAGCAGACATAATAACAGCTTTTTATTAACTTTACGAACATAGCTTCTTCGATTAAAATTCATGTTTCAATAAAATAAATGTACAGATGTTAAACTATTAGAATACAATTTAGGTTACAAAACATCCGTTTTGTCGGAAAAAGTTAAAATAATTTTATCTTTTTCCGATGTCGGAAGCGTAGTTAAAAATTTCGGATGAAATTCGGCGCGAAAATATTCTGATTCGATTTTGACCAATGAGAATACTTTCGGATCATCGTGTCGTCGGAAATCGGATGCATGGGACTCCGACTAAAGTCATAGGTAGTGGCAGAGAACTACGAAGTTCTCTGGTAGTGGTCTGTGTCTTGCGTCAGAGAACTTTTGTAGTTCTCTGTTTGTGTCATTACTTCTGTCATTACTGTCATTAGATTAGGTTACGAGGTTACTCTTGGTCCTCTTTGGTCCTCTTGGTCGTCCTGGCACTGGCACTGACCTGCTGACACTGGAGTGAATTTTCTCTGACTCTAGTTTTTTTTTTTAGTTCATTGAGTAAAAGTAGTGTTTATGTATTTTTTATATTGGTTTAATTAAAATGGAGAGAAAATCCAGATGTGATATTCTACGTGAACTTATAACTGAAGATCAAGTCGAGATTATTCGAAAACTACAACGTCTAACGGGGAAGGTAAGTATTTGTAAAAAATATAATTACATATTATTTTAAAGACATAACAAGAATATTATTGTAGCCTAACTATAATTTTATTTTAATCGTTTTATGAACTTACTCTGTTACAATTAGTTCTGTTAAGACGTCTTACAATAAATAATACTGATGTATAAAAAGAATGGGGCTTATGTCAGATTTTTTTTTGTTTGATGAAAATAAAACATTCTTCTTGGACTAAGTATTAAAAGTTATATTTTGGGAATTATATATTAGATATAAATTAGATACTTTTGTTACAGGTTTCATCAATAATTGAAAATAGTAGTCAAAATCAAGTAGATATATTTAGATGTCAGAGTAGCCTCTTAGATGTGCTTAAACAAACTTCATCTATCAATTCATCCTTAGAGGTCATCATTGAAGAGCTAGAAAGTACTTATGGCAATAATGAATCTACTGATGCTTGTGATAGTGAAATAGCAGTAGAACCTTTAAATGATCATTTAATGCTTTTGCCAAATACAAATAATAATCAACTTTTATTAACTGCAGGTATATTTCTGTAATTTATAATATATACAATAAATATTAAATATTATTTCCTTTTAAGTCTTAAAAAGTTTCATAATTGGTTACATTAGGTACTATTCATTAAATAATTACAGAGTATGCATTTTATACAATGGAGATTATTTTAGTGAGACATCTGTTTAATTTTATAAAGAATTTTGCATTATCTGATAACTTCTCTTCTTAGTGTGTTATAATCATATAAAATGTTCTTTTGATTTATATTTTATGGATTTGGTATTAAATATAATTTTTTACATTATGTACAGTTGCGGTCACGGAATAGTTTACACCTTACTTTTTATATTGTAATACTGTAAAATTGCAGTGTCGTACGGATTTGATAAATGTCAAAGTCAAAAAATTTCAAAATGTCAATGTTTTCGCGAGTGTTCAACAATAAAATAAAAGTATATTAAACTCTTCCAAAATGGTTAGAATACATTTGAATTATGCGCAAAAAGCAAGAGCAATTGCCAAACTCGAAGAAGGTTGGTCACTAAGGCAAGTTGCTGCTGATTTGAACGTGAGTCATATGTGCATATGGAAGATTAAACAAAGATGGGATAATTTTCACTCTATAGCACGGTTGGGCGGTTCAGGAGGGCAGAATATTTCCACAGATCAACAGGATGAGATGTTAGTAGATTATTTGAGAGAATCTCCTTTTGCCACAGCTCAAAAGGCAAGAGAAGAGGCAGCGTTTCCAGGCAGTATTCGCACTGCACGTCGAAGAATTAAAGCAAGTGGACTGCTAAATTGTGTAGCTGCACGGAAACCTTTTTTGACTGAGGATCACAAGAGAAGACGAGTTGAATTTTGTAATGAATTTATAAACCGCGATGAGAATTTTTGGTCTAGGGTTGTATTTTCCGATGAAAAAGTATTTCAGTCGTATAATAATGGTCGAATAAGAGTTTATAGGCCGAGAAATCATAGGTATGATGAACAGTATACACATCATTTAAGAAATAGTGGAGGATTCTCTGTCAACGTATGGGGATGGATAAGTGCTGAAGGCCCGGGCATTTGTTATCATGTAGAGGAGAAGTTAACAGGATTATATTACAAACATATTATTGAGCACACAATGTTGCCATCAGTGAAGAAGAAGCAAGAAACTGATGTTAATGTTCTTCCGTGGCCTTCCCGTAGTGCAGACTTTAACCCCGTCGAAAATGTGTGGGCAGAGTTAACAAAGAAACTAAATGAAAGAAACCTTAGACCACGGAATAGAATTGAATTATGGGAAGCAATTGAGCAGGCACGGGAAGAGTTTGTTAACTATAACATGAGGGGATTGGTGCTATCTATGAACAGAAGACTGCAAAATTGTATTGACAAGAATGGGGCTTCCACCAAATATTAATTATTATTTATCATTGTTTATCGTTATTTAATAGAAAATAGATTTAAAATAAAATGCATATTAAAAAAAATACTTCTTTATTTTCGTTATTAAGATCATAATCCATTTTATTCAAAAAACTGTTTTCTATATTTTTCATTTTGTAAAATATTTTGATATTTTAATTTTAATCTACCTATTCTAGCTAGTACACCACTGGCAACGTCACTTTGACGTAAAAGGTGCGTTTAAACGAAGTAAAAATTTAAAAAATGGGCTCCTAGATACGTGAACCTGTAAACTATTCCGTGACCGCAACTGTACATTACTACCCAACTGTAAATTTACTTTTGAAAGAATAGATCATGCCCACCATCTGACAAGCATTCCAGAATGTTCTCTTGGGTCCAAAAAGGTTGGGGACTTCTGTACTAGAGCCAGAGCAACCCTTGCTTTTGTATTTATCAACTGACAACCTAGTATTATATATCAAAGCTAACACTCAATGTTTCAAGTAAATTTTGCCATAATACCTTCATAATTCTACTACTAATTCTGTTTTTAAAGTTAGTTAAATATATTCAGTGTAAGTATTTAAACAATTTTAGTTCCAGATTCTTTATATACAATCAGTTCACCTGAAAGTAGTGAACAAACAGAAACAGGAAGATCTGGTATAGTTAATGAGGCAGTGAATACAGAAACAATACAAGACAAAATAAGTGATACACAAGACTACGATGAAGGACTGGAATCACTTCACTCAGAATACCCTAACAGTGAAACTCATCTTACATATAATTCAATAAGTTTTCAGACACCCGAAAAGGACACCTCTACCTCAAACAATGACATAAAAAAGCAACATTTCAATAATTTCATTGATGATAATACCCATGATGTAGAAGTTTCTTCCTCCTCCTCATCATCCTCTTCCTATCAATCATTGAAGCCTTTTCAATCGTCAGGTTATAAATCTACAGACAAATTTAATAACCAATTTGACCATGGTACTAATCCCTTCTTACCAGATGTTAAGTTAGAACCTGTGGGGACAACTATAAAAAATGATAATGGAGGTAATACTCTTTCTTTAGCAGATGTTAAGTTAAAACCAATTGTAACATCTGTAAAAAATAATAATGGTGCTAATAATCCTTCTTTACCTGATATTAAGTTAAAACCAGTACAAACACTTGTAAAAAATGAAGTAACTCCATTAGATGTTGAGGAAAAAAGATTCACACCAAAAAAGAAGAAAAAGAATAATAAAAGCATTAAATATGGTAAGTAGAATAATAATTGATTTTCATAAAGGGTGTCAGGAAAAAGTTTTTTTGCATTACACCTTAGATTTTTCTTATAAAATTCTTTCATTTGTGATATATTGTTGTTGTGATGAATTATTGCATGCAATCCAAGACAAATCTGACAGTTATTAGGATTTTACTCAGCCAAATATTAAAATATGGATTTAAAGTGGTGTTTTATTACCTTTTATAAAAAAACTGTTGTTTTTATGGGAATATGTACCAAAAACAGAGTAACAAAACTTTGATTTTCATTGTTAATGAAAAAACATTGATTCATTTTCTTGTTAAATTAACTGAAAGAATATTTAACAGTGGCACATCCAAACATATACTGTATTAGCAGTTAAGATGTGTATAATGTGTTAAGTCACATTTTTTTCAGAGAAATAAGTTGCTCCACTTAGATTCATCACATTCAATTATATTTAGTGAAAAGCAGTTTTAACTCCTTAAATTCATCATTTAGCCAAAAGGCGGAGGTACACTTGGTTAAGTGCAGTATGCAAATCTAGACAAACAATTTTAACAGCTTGACATTTTTCGTCCCACTTCTGGTCAGCTTTAATGCAGCAAATTTGTACCATGGTATTTTGCAAGAGAGGAAGTCCAAACACAAGATTAAAAACCAGCCTACTAGTACACCTTCTGAAGTAGAGGTGGGAATACATTGGGAAATTCCCAGAGTGTATGTTATACATATACAAATATTTTGGTATGGCTAGGATATTACTTGCTTGGAGTGATATAATTATGTTGTGTAATTCTTATGCAATCTTTAAAATTTAAAATCACAAAGTATATTTATTTGAGTTATCATCTTACCCTAGTACAAAATAAGTGATTTATCATTTCATCCATCCAATGGCACTACAGCCCAAGCCGGGCCTTGGCCTCCTTCATTAAACCTCTCCAAACATCTCTATTTACTGCTGTTTTTTTCTATGAACGCGTTTTTAGGAGATTTTTGGCATCCTCATCTACCTCGTCTTCCCATCTCTTTTTTGGTCTTCCAACAGGTCTTTTTCCTTGCATTCTTGCTTTAAGTAATTTTCTGGGGATTCTGTTCTCATGCATGCGGGCACATGCCCTGCCCATCGTAATCTCTGCAGTCTAGTGTATTGTGCTAGTGTTGGTTCAGTGTATTGTTCGTATATTTCGTTATTATATCTAATTCGCCAGTTGTTATTTTCCTTTATTGGACCCAGTATTCTACGCAATATTTTTCTTTCGAACACGTCTAATGCATTTATTTATCATTTAAATAACTAAATCTCATATTTATTTTGAAAAAACCTAGTTACATACAACTTTTAATCTTTTTTATAGAAATTCCATCCAAACGAGACCCTGTCATCGAAGAGGAATGCCTTGTATGTCATATTGTATCCCCTAATGAATTTTATATTCATTTAAATGACGAGGAGACATTATTTGTCGATGAAATATCAAACATAATCGGTAAAAATATAACAAAAAGTAAAAAAATAAAATATAATAATAAAGATGAAGCACTCAATGACATAGGGAAATTTGGATTTTTATTTTTAGAGGCTAATATGCTTTGGTACAGAGTGGAAGTATTGGATGGACTGAAGGTAAGTAGAATCATTTTTATTTCACTTTATAAACGAAAAAATTGAGTTATTGGGTGTAGCAGTAGCAAAGCGCAAATTACTTTTATACTGTTTTATACTTTGGATCATAGTATTTTGTTAGTAGAAAAGGAATTAAATATCCTGTATATAATATTTTGTTACATTATATAGCTTATTTCACTCTATAAACCAAATAAATTATATTTTTAGTTTTAAATATCTATTTCTACATCTCCCGTAAACGTTAGTTATAGTAAGGTGAATGAAATGACATGCATTTTGGTCTCCAGTTACCGGACTCTTCTGAACAGTGGAATGATAGAACATTCAGCATTCATTCAGTGGCATGCATGCGAGGTGTTGCTTACTGCTAATGTGACCAACACTTCAAAATACACTATACAAAAAACCAAGCCAAACCAATTTCTCCAAGCTAATTTATTACATAATTTGTTCTTTTGAATCACTACCTCGGTTATTCCAGAGGCTCAGCTCAGTTAGTCTTGACTCAGATAATCGCTAGTCTACGTACTTGTAGATAAGAGAACTCCGCACAACCAACCTTACCTTTACAATTTTAAAAAAAGTTTATGACGTCCGAAATATGTTTTGCTATAATCTTTTATATTGAAATTTAAAAAATTAATAACACAAAACAATGCACTTTTAAGTATTATAATAACTATGTACAGTTTTTTCGGAGATTTCCATTATTTCTGGTTGTGGTGAAGTCCGCAATTTCAACAATTAACGATATTTATATACATTTATTTCATCTTTTAGGATCAGAAACACGATAATATTTTAGTGCAATTAGTGGACTTCGGAAACACAAAACTAGTTTCATATAAACATTTACATAGAATGACTAAAGAATTGAATGACATTCGAGCCATGCATTATCCCAAACTAGCTGTGCGATGCCAGTTGCCAAGGGTAAGTAAACAACATAAAACAATTTGAAACGACCTGAGTAAAATATTTTAAAGAAAATTTTGTTTCGTTTAATTTTATTGCATTTGTTACAAATTTAATTTACTTTATATATCCGGTGGAGATTTGAATGAACGATCTTTTGCACTTGCGTGCTAAAGATCTATATAGCTTCGTGCAGGATTTCTTCAACAAAAGGAAGTATGTATCTCCAACAGATACCCAAAGTTAGCGTCTTCAACTCGTTTCTTTCGCAATAAGTAGTTTAGTGACTTGGTGGTACAAACCAAAAACGTAGGTGGTTTAAACGGAGCACTAAAATTCAAAAACGAATCTGTCACTTTGTATTAGAATATATAGAATTAGAAATTAGATGGTGCATTAAGAGATTTTACTCGCAGTTCATAAGTTATTATCATTTTAGCTCTACCCTCCACACTCGACACGTTTAAATAAATTATCAAAATGGCCAGAGGATACCATCGAGATTATGCATCAATTATGCTTATTCGACGAAGAAATTTCACAGTTTAGTTACTTTAAACTAGTATATGTCGCTAAGGAAGGGTAAGTTTTGTAATATATTTTTATTATATTTATTTTTCTCTTTTATTTAGTGGTTTATAAGTATTTGAAAACAATAAATACATTGTTTTTCGTGTTTATAACTTACGAATCTGAAATTAGATTCCTCTGAACTTTCTCATGCGATGGCGGCAGACAATATTAATTGATTGCGGTCATATTTCTCGAATATCTGCGCTATAAACGTCTTTTTGTGCTTTTCAAAGTATCCAAGGTAACCTACTCCCTTGCGTTCCTTAATTTTTTTTTAATTGAGGTGGTAATATGAGTAGTTCTCAACTGCGCTGATTCTTTTTGACATTTGACAGAAAATATGACCGCCCCTTTCCAACGAGGCGAATCGTGCAGGCTTGACCTTGAACGAGCCAAAAATGATGATAATAAACCTTATGTTTTTCCAAAAAAAATATCTGGGGATACTTTTACCAAATATAATGTTTCAACTGTTCTAGGACCTTGGAAAAATCTATGTAAGTATCTTCGTGTTTAAATTTTACCAAACAACAAAGCTGATTCGAATCGCTAAAGTCAAATAGACGTCAGCAACCAGAAAATTATAGAGGGGTAAGGTCAGTTATCTTCTAATGTTCGTTTCATAGCATTAGCATAGAAATATTGCTGTTGATAATTGCAGTATTGCTACTAGTAAAAGGTCTAACAACAGATAATTAGGAGGAAAACAACACTTAGTTGGCAACAGTGCTCAAAAAAAGTGGAACTAAACTGTAATAGCCAATCTCTTGGTAGCTCAAAACGATGATTCAACTCTTTTCTTTCTAATATGTACATACATCCATGTCAAATACTAGAACCAAAAATTTTAAATCGAAATGGACTAACATCCAAAATAGAAGCAATTGAAATTATTGAAGAAGTCATAGAAAAAGCTAGTATATATATATATATATATATATATATATATATATATATATATATATATATATATATATATATATTGAAATGATTTCAATATGTTAAAATATATACAACTTTAATGGATTTTTATATATGAGTTTGTTGTTTATGAATTTCATGAAGCCATCACAATGTGGGTTCGACTCTGAAATAAAAGAGAGAAAAAGATTAGTAAATTGTTAAATAAATTAATTTTGACTTACCTGGTATAGTGTTAATAATTTCTGAATAGTATAGTTGCCTAGTGTATAGGTGAATCGTCTAAACCTTAAAAAGAACAAAAAAAGAAGAATTTTAAAAAAATATTTAAACATAGAAATTTTAATAAACGTCAGAAAATAAACTGCTTGACAGTTTATTTGACAGTCTGTGGGAGCTAAATTAATAGGGGTTTTGTTAAATAAGAAATTACAATGATGTGGAGATGAAAAGAATAAATTAGTATTGTAATAGAATAAGTTTTATATCTAAACATTTTTTTTTGTAAATTCCCAAATTATATGTGATTAAAGTGATTATGAGAAAGTAATGTGGCTTGACAAATATGTCAAACAGGACAGTTTTATGGTTTAAAATATTTAAATAGAAGACAGAAAAAAAAAGAACGTTGGTTGCTGTTAGCAACGGATAATAAGAGGAATTGGTTTTTGGAGAGGACGCCGACGAGGTTTTTTTTTGGACGAAGGAGAGCCCTGAAACTGTGGAATAGGTCGGGAGTGTTTTTTAACTCGTCTAATTAGAATTTAGTTTTTCCACAGTTTCCACAGCAGAGATATCCAGAAATTTGTTCCAGAGAGTAAGAGAAACAATTTCACTTATAAATTATATTGGAGTATAGAAATGTCATTTAAATTGAGAAAATTAAAATTCATGAATTAACATAATTGCGATAGGCCTTAAAAATTGAAATTATTAATGATCATTAAATTAAAAATAGAATAGTACGTACCTTAACTTCCGAAGAGAGGATTGATATTCCAGTTTCACCGATTATTTTTGAGTAGTTAGTTTCCTTTAAAGAAATCAGAACTGTTTTAAAGTGAGGTTGGACAATAATTTTGGGGATCATTTGAAATTTTGATTATATTTGAATAGTCAGCGGAATAAAGTGTTCATTTTCTTTTTCTTTATAGTTCATTTAAACACTTTATAAAGTTGCAATATTTATTTAGTTTTTAGGTACTTGTAGAGAGTCTCCACATTTTGTAATACATTTTTATTGTCACGTCACTAAACCACGTTAAGACTTAAACGATTCCTATTTTTGTAAATTTTTAAAGGCAACCGAAGTTGCAGACGAATTTTATTGTTTATATTAAATTTGTTCAATATTAATAAATAACGTGCTTCATTTGGGTTAATTTATCAAGTAAATTTTCAATATTGGGTTTGCAGCAATAAAAATGATACGTGTACTCTTTTAAATTTTTATTCCGAGCTTTCGGACATGGTTATGTCCTTCATCAGGGAGCTACAAATGTGATGAATAGTTTGTTACAAGTTTGTATAATTAATTAAGATTCGTTACTTACAAACTTAATGAGGTTGTATCATCAATGATTTTCTACAATGTCGATAAAACTTATCACAGTCTGTCATATTTTTACATAAAACTTATTCCTATATTTAAAATTTTTAAAAATTGCTTTACAATCACAAACACTTACTTATTATACACACATTTTTGACATTTTTATTCTTAATTTTATTATATCGTCATTAGTTTTTTCTCAAGACAATTCAGTGGTTTTTATTATTAGATACTAGTACCAAATTATAGGCCTATCATTAGATGTATTGTGGCAATATAAATTATTTTATATTTATTAATATCATAAAGAAGTGAAACTTTAACTTGTCAATGTTTCAACACAAAATTTATTAAATTAACCTAAAGAAATAAGGTCATAATTCTAAAAATATTACAATTGAATATGATATTGTTTTGTATGACCCCAGTATCTGTGTGTATACAAAAATTACTAAATTTAAAAACAATTAAAAAAAGAAGAAGAGAAAACTTTTATTTAATTTATTAAAAGTCAATTGATAAATTACTGTTTGTGTTATTGTTGCATTTATCTAGTAGTAACAAATAGGAGAACAATTCATTTAGATGACCAATATCCGTTCTATGGTTCATTGCATTGTTATTTTGGCAAATGTAGGCCATTTCAAGAAAAAGTCTTTTGGTGATGTTACTTTCCTGTTCTACTACTTTGATGTTATTGTAATCTATCCGATGCCCATTTTTAAATGCATGTTCACCCAAGGCACTTCTTTCTGGATGTAATCTATTATCAGACTTGTGCGATGTAATGCGGTCTTTAAGGCATCTTGATGTTTGACCGTAGTATACTTGTTCACATGATCCGCACGGTATACAATAAACAACATCCGTTAAAGACAAGAGTGGGGATTGGTCTTTAAGTTTAGAAAAAACTTTGTTAACTGTTAGTACCGTTTTATATGCAATTTTGATATTATTAAGTGATGAAAAAATTCTACTAAGTTTATGCCCAATGTCCTTAATGTATGGAAGGGATACATATTTTATTGTCGTTTGTTTTTGTAAAGGATCTACAGGTCCAATTCTATCGTGTGATAAAGACATATTTTCCTCGTTTCTTAAATGACTAGTTAAAGTTTGTGGAGTGTTAAACAAAATTTTTTTTAGTAGTATACTTGGGTATGAGTTTTCAATGAATAGGTTATAAAGGATTTTTAGATTTTTGGTATGGAAAGTATGGTATATATATATATATATATATATATATATATATATATAAGCGAGGTTCCTACAGCCTCTGCCGTCTCTCGCATTTCGATCGCCATCGTTTTCTGTCCATCTATTCGCCTTCTTTGATGGCTCTATCTCTCATTATATGTCGTACATTTTCTTCCCAGGCAACTGAAGGCCTTCCTCTTCTTTGTTGTGGTATGTAATTTAAAGCTTTCTTTGGCCATCTATCTTCATTCATTCGCTTCAGATGACCCCACCACACACTAGTTGTCTCGTTTCAATTCTGTCGACACTGGAATATACAGTATTTGTCCTCCTTTTAATATCTCCATTCCTGATATGATCTTTTTTGGATACACCACAAGCTCTCGTTAAAAAATCCATTTTTACTACTTCTATTCTTTTTCTATCTTTTTTCGTGATCTGCCAAACTTCTGCTCCATAAGTCATAATAGGCTCTACAAAGGTTCGATAGATTGTAAATTTCGTTTCTTGTCTAATATCTTTAGACCATAATAGAGAGTTTAGAATGTTAACTGCTTTTTTCCCTGTTTTCGATGTCTCTTTTGGTAGTGCCTTCTTTAGATATTATAGATCCAAGATATTTATATTCATTGCATGTTTTTGTGTTTCTAATTTCTAACTCTGGATCTTCTTCATCATCTCCTATTTTAAGATACTCTGTCTTTGACATATTCATATTGAGGCCCCATTTTTCATATTATTTCTTTAGTTTTCTAAACATGTAGTCCATGTCTTCCTCATCTTTCGCTACGACTACCTGATCATCTGCGAAAAATAAAGTTGATAGACATTTACCACCGCCTATGTCTATTCCCATTCCGGATACTTGTTTCCTCCACTGCTGTAGCAATGATTGAATATATATTTTAAATTAGGTCGGAGATAGACAACATCCTTGTTTAAGCCCCTTTGTTATTGGAAATGATTCAGATATAAAGTTTCCTTCTTTAACTACACTTCTTGCATTTTTGTATATATTTGCAATAGCATTCACATACTCTCTACTGAGACCTACTTTCGTCAATGTTTGAAACAGTTTTTTTAAAGGTACCATATCATATGCCTTCTCTAAATCTACAAACAATAGGTGGATAGATAGATTCCTTGCCTTCCGTTTTTCGATTATCTGCTGCAGAACGAATATACCATCAGTGCACGATCTTCCTGCACGAAATCCATTTTGTTCTTCTATGTCTTTGTATTCTGATTATATTCTTTCTTTTATTATTCGACCGTACAACCTCCCCACTGAGCTGATAACAGTTATTCCCCTATAATTAGGGCATTTGCGTTTATCCCGTTTCTTGAATATTTAGCTGATGTATCCAATATTCTAATCGTCAGGTATATTTTGTCCTTTTAAGCATTTGTTAAATAGTTGAACCAACATCTCATATAATATTTTTGATTCATACTTTACCAACTCAATTGGGATGTCTCCAGGTCCTGCTGCTTTACCATTTTTCGATCTTTTAAGGGCATCGTTTAACTCTCCGGTTGTTATCTCAATTATTTGTGTGTGTTCGGATATATCTTCCATTTCGATCTCTTGGAATTTACATTTTGTTGTGAAAACTAGTAATGCTAACCAAGAAAAAGCTAGTTCAATTATTACAAATAAGTTCAAAAACTCGTTATGTTTTAATAAAATCAATGGTATTTTTTTTTCAAACAAATTTTTTTAAATAAAAAATTGCATGATATTATTTAGGATTATAATATATTATAATAAATTATATATTATATTTTTTATTTAAAAAAGTTTGGAAAAAAATACAATTGATTTTATTAAAACATAACGATTTTTTGAACTTATCTCTGTAATAATTGAACTTAAATTAAAAAATACAGTTACAAAAAAACTAAAAAAATATTTAGAAAAAGCACATTTTCAAGTGCTTACCTTAACATTTTTATTACATTTTATTTATTTTCAACAAAGATATTGTTGATTGATTTTCGAAAAGTGAACTTAAAAATAAAATAAAAAAATTTGCATTCTTTTACCAGAACGCAAATTTTTACCCTTAGAAGTAATATAAAATTCTATATTTAAATATTATGTAAACATTATAGAATGTAAATCCAAAAGGAATTTTAAATTAAATGATTGTATAAATTTTTATGACGAAAAATATTTGTTGGTCTCAAAAACTATATGTGTTATCTTTCAACATATTTTTCTAAATTAAATAGTTTCTGATTTACCATGCAAATTCATTCATATTGAGGTTTTTTATACATTTTATGTCTTTTTAGTAAAATTTTATGTTTGGTTATTGTTCCAAATTATTGATTAAAAAATTTTGTTTTTCGTTATTTTACGAAATACAGCCCAATATCTTAATTCTTTCAAAACTGAGATTGCTTAGGAATGTACACTTTTAATAATATTTTTTTGGGTCATTGAGTCAGTGTTTTTTTATCGGGATAATCCGTGCAACTCTGTGAACACCGTCACCACCGCTTCCAACATACTCCTTCCCGTTCATTCTGGAACGGTACTGATTTCTCTGATACAATTTATCTATGCACGATACAAGGTAAACCTGTCGATACTTTTTACCCTTTTGTAATTCGCACGGAAATCGAGATCTTCTAATTCACCGGGTACCAGTGTGGTTCAAGCCAGATAGGCTCCAGACTGTCCAAATTCTTCGTGTCTTAGAACTCGCTCGGTTTTTCTTAACATATTTTAGCATTTACGTAGAATGATATTTACATTAATGAACTTTAATTTTAGAGATTCTTATATTGTTGACCTATATCGAGTTGATTTGGAGAGTACCAACACACTCAGTCAAATTCTGTTGGATTATAATGCGGCTGTGCTTATTATCGATGACTGTAAGTTTGACACACCTCAGTTTTTTTTTTTCAATATTAGAACGAAATTTTTTGTTTTTAGGCGATACTAATAACATGGAGTTAGAAAGATTCGTGGACGATATAGACGACGTAGAACAGTACAACATAAACGAAGCAATAACGGGATATGACCCTACTGACGAAGCGAGAATATGCAGATTTACTCGACCCGATGGAACTTGTTTCAAAAAACATTGTAAACTTGAACATATTCAGCCTCGGAAAGGCAAGTTATAGTTGTCAATATTGTCATTGGTGCATATAATTTAATTTTTTAAACGATGCATGAAATAGATATTAACATTTTATTCTGAATTTTTCGGACCTAATCTAAATACTCATGTTTGCGCCATACAATTGTTTATGTGGCATAAATATCTATATATTGTACATCTATCTAGAAAAAATCTTAATTTAAGAAGGTCATGGAATTGATCATTGATGAGCAATTGCACACTGTCAATCAGAGAAACGATTCGGTATCTTTTAGATTCTTTATGACAAAATAATATGCAGGAACACTTAAATCCTATCGACAGCTAGATATTTAATTACCATTTGAACATAACAGCAAATGTTGCAAAATGTGTTGTTTTGTTTGCTGCATATCAGAATTAGTGTGGGTTTATAATTGAATGCGCAAAATTTTCACATCGCATACCCTTACAGCTTCTACCTGTCGTAAAAGACGTCTAATAGGATCAGCTGTCCCCTATCAAAAATCCTAATATGTCGCTGCTGGTAGTGCATATTCACCACCAACGAATATAGACGCATATAGAAGCACATTTCAAATAGGAGAACGACCATAATTTTTTTTGTGTGAAACTATTTTTTTTTAGTGATTCAAATGACAAAAATGTGTGAAAATAATCAAAATTTCAGAATCCACTCATTTTAGCTCGATATGGTCACCTTTTGCCTTGACTATGGGCTTCAAACGATCAAAAAACGAGTTGCATGCTGCACGAATGTGATCTTCCGGTATTTTGGCCCATTCACGTATAATCGCTTTCTTCAGCTCATCCTTACATTTTTTAGTCCTCACCTTGCTCTCCAAAATGGACCAGATGGAATAGTCCAACGGATTAGCGTCTGAAGAATTCGAAAACCATTGTGTGGATGAAATGAAGAAGTGTGGAACATTTCTTGGTTCACATTAGCTTTATGAGACGGTGCCGAGTCTTGTTGGAACGTCCATGGTCTACAACCAAAATGTTTGCGTGCCCACGGCTCTAAAGCAGCTTCTAAAATATTTTCCCGATAATAAGTTGCATTGAATTTGACACCAGATTCAATAAAATCGATTGGAGAGCGTCCATCGGCGGTTACAGCAGCCCATACCATTACTTGAGATGGGAAATTACTTCGGGTGGCCGTTCGTAAGCTCAAACTTTCGTAGGTGCGTTCGGTTAAGTAAACACGATTATTTTGAGAGTTTATGAACTGCTAAATAGGGAAATTTTTCTCATCAGAGAACACTATGTTCCGAAATTTGCCACGTTCGTACAGGCGTAACAACTCCTTTACGACTTATAAACATTATACTGAAGTGTTATCAGGCCAACTTTGACGTAGCTGTCATTATCGATTTGCCAGATATATCGATGTGAAGTTGGTAACAGTTCAATTGCATAACCCTGTATACTTCAAAATACTCCTGTATTATATAATAAAAAAGAAGATAATGATAGGGTAGGAGAGTCTACGAGAGCTGCAACATAAATAAATGTGGGTATTTTACCGCGGTCTACGCAGTCATAAGGAAGATTGTACGTTAACGGAACCCCTTGTTAGTGGGTAGTAGGGAATGGTATCGATACCTCGGTATGTGAAGACTGAAGGTATATGGGACTGACATGCATGAAGTTACGATGCGTATGGGAGAAGTAAATGGTATGCTGCTACATATCTCCGAATTGCAGTGTGACTGGTATTTTCGACTGCGAGTGACGTAGCGGTGACAGAATAAAGTTAACCAAAACGTAGCGGCATTTTAAAAGCAAAACCTAAAAATATCTGTCTACTTTTTACTCTTATTCTAGTACAATCCCACAATTGATAGAAAGGTGCAGATTTTGAGAACGTAGTTGTAAAGACATCTGAAAGGCAGCATCACTAGAAGGTCCATGTAGAAAAAGTTTCTATTTTGTACATTCAACAAAAACAGGTGTTATCTGCTATTTTTCTTTACTTTCATATTTAGTGAATTGAGGGCGCCTGCGAAATTAATATTTTTAATTTAATTAGGGGGTATACCAATTTAAATAATTATTCATACTTGGTGATTCCCCGAAATACCAGAAAAAATTCCTACTCACACATCGTCCTTTCCCAACATCCAAATTTTGATTAATTGCAGTAGACAGTGACTGTTTCGGTTTCGTTTCGTTGTCATTCATTGTTGATTTACTTGTGATTTTTTTCTCTTTCGCAAGAGGTAAGTGAACAATGATAATGCATGTAATACAAATCTCTATATTACATTAATTACAATGAAATAAGAATGTCAGATTTGGAAAACAGTGGCCCTTCAACATCAACCCCTGTTAAAAAAGAGCATCTAGACAAGAGCTCTCGCGCTGAAAAAAAAAAAAGAAAAGTAGAAAACAATCGTATTCTAAGCAATGGCTAGAAGACGAGAAATTTAAAGGATGGCTTCTGTTTACCGAATATGCATCTAAGCTGTAATTTGTTACTAAGAACTAGAGGAAGTGATTTATTAAAGCATCAGCAAAGTCAAAGGCATCAAAACAATGTGACATCTTTACAGGGTACTAGGTCCTTAACAGATATATTTAAGCCACGTAAAGATAATAATAAAAAAGAAAATACGGTAGATATAAGATTTGCTTTACTTGTTTTCTCACACAACTTTAGCTTGAGGTATATTGATCCCATAACAGAAATGTCAAAATTAAATTTCACTGACTCTCGACATAGCAAAAAAATTTAAATTAAAACGTACAAAATGCACCAATATTGTTAAAAATGTACTTTTATCTACAATTACAGAGGAATTGTGTCAAGAACTAAAAGAAAACAATTTTTCGATACTTGTAGATGAAAGCACAGATATTAGTAATACACAACTGCAATGTATACTGATTAGATATGTTTATAATAATCAGCTAAAGACTGCATTATTAGATTTAATTCCTATAGGAGCTGATGAAGGAACAGCCAAATGTTTATTGGGATTGTTTAAAAAAAGTTTAGAAAATTTAAATTTGAAAGTTGATGTGGTTAAATATTGCTCAGACAATGCCAGTGTGGTGATGGACAATAAACAATCATTTAAGAGTTACATCTTAAATGAAAATTCGTATAAAACAATAAATGGTTGCATACGCCATTCTGCATACTTAATTGCTACTACCGCAATTCAAGAATTGCCCAGCAATATAGAACCATTATTTCAAAATATATATAGTTATTTTTCTCGTAGCTCAAAAAGACAATTTATCTTGGAAGAGTTCCAAAAGTTTATGAGAGTATCACAACTAAAAATACTTGGTCCTAGCCGAACTAGGTGGTTAGCTCTGTGAGATTGTGTTGACAGGTTGTTGAGTCAATGGGATGTTCTCATTGAAGTTTTTCGAGTTCGCGCATTGAAGATAATAATCCAGTGGCAAACATAACATTGACAGATATGCAAAATCCTTATGTTAAAGCTCATCTTCTGTTTTTAAAACATGTAATTCCTATATTTAAAAGGAAAGTAGACAATTTATTAAACTTTTATGCAAAAATTTTAATCAAATTTCTTTCTGCAATGAGGATGCCAAACTTGATTCTTTAAATGTTAACAATCCATATCTACTACTTCCTATCAGCGACATCAATGTTGGGCTAGGTACCATAGATCTATTACAACATAGCACAAAAAATGATGATGAGCAGTTTACGCGCAGATGCATAAAATTTTATCAAAAGGCAGTTACTTAAGCTGTTAGACGACTTCCTATAAATAATAGATTTTACAAAAATTTATCATTTATAGTTCCGGAAAATCCTCTCTCGTCACAAATAAAACGTGATCTTACTGAAATAGTCATAAAATTTGAAAACAAAATAGATTCTGCATTAGTAATTAATAAAAATAAAAACCTCAAGGTTTATTTTTCAGAAGAAATCTAATTTATTAGTCTATAAAAATAAAATAGAGCTTTGGATAAAAATTAAAAAAAATTAATGATAAATTTATTTTCAAAAATATAAGCACTCTGGCTCTAATCATCCTTGTTTTAACTCATGGAAATGCAGATGTAGAGAGAGTATTTTCTATGATGAGTGATATAAAATCTAATAAAAGAAATCGTCTATCAACTACCTTACTAAGTGATAGTCTCAGAATTAAGTTAGAATTAGTAAATAAACATAAATGTATTATTTATCCTATCAGTGATGCACATTTCACCAGATTAAATCAATTGATTCCGAATAAATATTTTTATTTCATTATTTGTGTCTTAGTTGGTTTAGCTTAGTTTTTTGTTCATTTTTTTTTTACACCAGATATAGATTATTATATCAGATCAATTTTATTACCGTTGGTATTTTATTTGTAATATCAATGGGGTGTTTTAGAATGTACTTATTTTAGTCGAATAAATAACTTTCATCTATACCTTACTTTTATTGTCCACTTCTACAAAATTAATTCATTCAATAATATATTCTATCAAACATTATTTTACATTATCTATGTTTTTTATTGAAAACTGCCAATTTACAAACTACTCTACATATACATGAGTATTAAGTAAATTATGATTGGTGGGTGGGACTTTGTAGATGCTGCTGGTTCACCTCAATGTACAGCAGATCTTCGGTCCACTGTCTTTTGAGTTTTCTTTCTATTGCTGGTGGTTTGGTCAGGGCATTGATCAGGTCGTACGTACTCGTGATTCTATGTTTTGTGGCTTGTAGATTTATGACGTCTTGATGAAAGGTATTTTTAAGTCTTCGTGTAGTGTTTGGTTGGATACATACCATCGAGCATTTGCCATTGTCCTTAGTGTTTTGGATTGGTATCTCTGTATTATTTGTATATTCGAGGTTTTGGCAAATCCCTATAATTCTATTCCGTAGGTCCACATTGGCCTAAGTATAATTTTGTAAATTAATAATTTGTTTTCAAGTGTCTGAAATCTGCGAAAATCTGCTGCCAATGAGCCAATTCATTTGCCTTGTTTTCAGATTCAGTTGTTGTCTTTTAGCCTT